AGGCCTCAGCCAGCATCCAGATCAAGACTATTCTGTGGCTGTTTCTGGTGGTGGTAGTAGTAGTAGTAGTAGCAGTAGTAGCAGTAGTAGCAGTAGTAGCAGTAGTAGCAGTAGTAGCAGTAGTAGTAGTGGTGGCAAGTAGTAATAGTGGTAAGAAGTACTGGCCCAAGCAGCAGCAGCAGCAGCAGCAGCAGCAGTAGCAGCAGTAGCGGCAGCAGCAGTAGCAGCAGTAGCAGTAGCAGCAGTAGCAGCAGCAGTAGCGGTAGCGGCAGTAGCAGTAGAAGTAGCCATAGCGGTAGCCGCAGGGATAGCGGTAGATGTAGCAGTAGCCGTAGCGGTGGCGGCAGCTAGCAGTAGCAGCGGCAGCAGCAGCAACAGCAGTAGCAGTAGCAGTAGCCGTTGCGGTGGCCGTGGCAGTTCCGGCAGCCGTAGCAGTAGTAAGCCAAGTAGGAGATAGTAGGAGTCGGAGCAGGAGCAGGAGTAGAAGTAGGAGTAGCAGTAGTAGTAGTAGTAGTAGCAGCAGTAGTAGTAGTAGTAGCAGTAGTAGTAGTAGCAGCAGCAGCAGCACCTGTAGCAGTACTAGTAGTAGTAGTAGTAGTAGTAGTAGTAGTATTATGATCAGTATCAGTATCAGTAGTAGTATCAGTATCAGCATCAGCATCAGCATCATCATCAGCATCAGCATCAGTATCAGCAGTAGTGGTAGTAAGAGTCGTCATCGCAGTAGTAGTAGTAGTAGTAGTAATAATAATACACCTGCCAACTTGCAGTGTTTACATCACGATTGTTACAGCTATTGCTACTTGCATAACTACTAAGCCTCGCTTGAATTATCAACCTCCCAATCCAACAAGATCTCTTTGCCTAGTTAATTCAAGAATGAGCTAAACAAAAATAACTGTCAGTCGGCTACTAGTTGGATACGGAACTACTTGAGACCTGAGTCGACTGGGCGTTGATCCAGGGATGGGAGAATCCTGAAATTCCTTCTGCCGGCGAGTAGGATGGCATGGTGAGGACTTAAAGAGGCTCGGCCTCCTGATAAGTAAAGTTCTCACTGCGGAAGCTGGACCGCCACGAGCATCTGATGAAAGAAAGAATTGAATCCAAATGAACCATAGAAGCCAGACTGACTCGGCAACCCAAAAACTTAAAGATTTCTGCAGCGGCTGGCCAACATTACGAAGAAGTCTTTTAACTAAGCAACTGCGTAATGAAGCAGTTAGTTAATTAAAGAACCAATTAGTTCCAGTGACTTGAGTCAGTCATTCGTTAACCAATAAAGCAGCTGCAGAAATAGTTGCGGTCGCTAGTCGCCACATCATGTCTAAAAGCTCGAAAACTCGCAGGCGGTGGTGACGTATTCAGCTAAGGGGCTGTCGATGTCCGCATCGGGACCGAAGTACTCGTGGTAACCACCAGTATAGCCCTTGCCGATGCCATGGGACTGGTACCTGAGCTTGCATACACACACACACACACGCACGGCAATCGCACACAGCATGCACGAGCAGCTTCGACAAAATCATTCCTGCACTTGTCCGTAGCGCATGCCCCGGGCCCAGTGCTGCTGAATTTGGCGAAAGTGCAACATCGAAGTGATTCCATCAAATCGGAAGCCATCGAACTGGTACTCCTCGAGCCACCACTTCACGTTCGAGAGAAGAAATCGCAGAACCTGAAGACAAAATTTGCGATGCAGTACGGGTCCGCGAGACAAAAACAGGAACAGTGGTCAGCCGCCCCCCATGCCTCGTACTTGAGGTAGTTGAAGATCTTCGAGTCCCACTCGGAATGATGGCCCTGCAAGTAACATACACGTGCGGCAGTCCAAGAGGGAAGCTAGAAAATCTGCTGGTACTAACGCCGGCATGATGGATGACTCCTGCATGACTGTAGAGAGACGGTTGTAGCACAAGTTTGTATATCGAGCTTGCAGATTGCTTGCTACCGTCACAAGCCCCCTGCGCCCAGTCAGGCACAACCAGTGGGTAGCATTCTCAACCTCCAAAGCCCAGTTCAAAAGTGATATGACTTCACGTCAAAGTCGGCACCTTCGGGCCGCCATGGGTGTAACAGTGATCTGTGCCATCCATCCTGGTTCAGACTCTCATGGAACTGCACTCCAAGAACTGTATCACGATGGGTCACACGTATCATCCTCATCCGTATCCCCATCCTTCATCATCCGTTGTCGTCGCCATCATCATTTGACCGTGTGGATACTGCTTGTACTCCCAGTGCCGTTTCCTTGAGACGAACGGTAGATTATAGACTGCCAGTGATATCGATGCCAGTCGAATGTCGTCTTGAATCTTGCTTTTCGCATTGACTAGCGAAGCAGATGAGCAGGATGCCGTGGGATGCCATAATTCTAAATGTGTGTTTCCAGACTGTTTACCGTTATGCACATATCTGTCATTATCTGTTCAAGTGTCTGAATTCTCGTTCACATCAGCGCCAGCTTTAAGAATTAGCTCCACCATCCTCTTGCGACTGTCAAACGCAGCACCAGCAAACAGGCCATCGCACACCATAGGAATCTCGAACGTAAGCCCATTGGTAACCGAGCCATCCAGAAGCGACCGCAAAACCGCAGCATTGCCGTCGGCGATGCTCTGCAACGTGTTCATGGCTCTTGACACCAGTGTCCGGCAAGACCGGATCCACTGTAAACGACCCACAGCAAGGGCGGCGCCCCCAGCCCGGCAGCCAAGTTGTGCCAAAGCGGGCAGGCTCCATGTCCACAGCCAGCGTCAACGCAAGGTGCTGGCAAAGCACCGGCACCTTGCAAGAGTCAGCCAGGAGAGCCTGGTCCTCTTCAATTGTCGTCCGTGGAGCTGCCTCCACATTGAATGACATCACCGGAAAGTGTGTGCACATCCAACTTCATGGCTCAAGTTCCGACGCCCCTGAGCACCTAGACTTAGACCTTGTACTCCTCTAGCCAGAATAAGCTCATGTCATACTAGTAGGCATGGACAAACACAATCGACAACTGCCCTCTTGCTTGCATAGTGTTGTCCGGACGGCCCGGACTGAGAGTCAACTTGTATAAATGCTGTACAGACCTTGTCAAGGCACCTTTCCGGATCCGGGCACGAGCATGGATCAGAAGATAGCCCGATAGCAGCTTGGGGCTTAGGGTGGATGGGGTCCGCCAAGTGCTGACGTTACATTGTCGTGGATCCGCAACCGCCAGTATCGCAAGGGTCAGACAGGTCAGACATGACATGGTTATAAACTTGTGGACTTGGTGCGATAAGCATAACAGAGAGACAGGGAGAGCGAGAGAGAGAGAGAGAGAGAGAGAGAGAACATGCAGAGGCCCTTTATGTCTTGCTCGTCTTCTTTCGCTCTCTCCCAAACAGTCTCTCTCCTCCTCTCCGGCTCTTCTCTCGAACCATGTCAGTCTCAGATCCAAAAAACTCTTCTTGCCGAAGTTCTGGGCGATTCCGTCCAGGGTGTTGGAGGATGCGTGGGCGTGCACAAGGTCCATAAGCACCTGGCAACACACACACACACACACTCACTCACAGTGGAAAAGTCCCATGTCAATGAGAACAACCCTGAGCACACCAGCAACACCCGATCGAAACTCCTTGAATCACCGCTAGAGCTCCGTGCTTCGAGCCTGAATGCCCAAGCCGTGCGCAGTATCAATCAGGTATTTCAGCTCCTCGGGAACGTCTTGGGAAGTCAAGGGGGTGGGATACTTACGATGTCGGGATATGGATGTATGCACTCTATAACCGTATTGGAAGCAACCCACACTTCCTATCAGCCTTGTCAGAACCTGCAGATCTGCGGGCGGCAAGAACCGAAATGACAATAAGTGAACTTTCTGTCTCAATGGTTGTGAGGGAAAACAGAGCCAAGCAGCTCACGGCCTTCTCGTCGAGCTAGGTTTAGGATTTAAGAAATGATAATCATGGAATTTCAAAGCCCCACACGCTGTGAACCCTGATCCAGCTCCTCAGGCGTTCCTTGTCGGCTGGCAGGAGCAAAGAAAGATGTCACATGGTAGCCAAAACAGCCTGGGAACTTGCGAAGATGTTATCTACTCCTGTTGTCACTGTTGTCACTATCACGGTGGCTCAAAGTGTTGGCTGCTGTTGTTCCGCAAGTTGGTGCAATAGTGTCAAGTTGAGGCTAACTCTTACAGATAGTTTCCTGCACTTCTTACCACAGCTTGTCCTGTCCAACTGCATGGAAGTTGCGACTCGATTCGTCCCTCTGCTTCTGACGATCACAACTACCATCCTACGAGTGCAAGATCTGGGGTAAGGCCGGTCCTTCGAGAAACAGCGGACATGGAGTTCAAGAGCTAGCTTTCCAAGTCAGCTCGTGCTGAAAAGTTGAAGCTTGTCATTGTTCGTCGTCGTGGCAGTGGTCGTCGTAGTACGAACGCTGGCAGGAGTAGTAGAGTCAGCAGCAGCAGCAGAAGGAGGAGGAGGAGTAGTAGCGGTGGCAGCAGTAGTAGTAGTAGTGGTAGTAGTAGTAGTAGTAGTAGTAGTAGTAGTACTAGTAGTAGTAGTAGTAGTAGTAGTAGTAGTAGAGTAGGAGTAGGAGTAGGAGTAGGAGTAGGAGTAGGAGTAGGA